ACAAGGGACCTACAGTCATATTCAACATTCAACAAACCATGTATTTAAGAAAACAATATTCCAACCTTCATTAAAAGATGGTGGAAATTCTGCAGATAGATTAATGTTGACTACAGTTGGTGTATTAATTTAAATTAAGCCACATTTACGATCCAATGTTATAATGTGCTGTGTGTGGCCTTTAAATGTACATCTAGGGCTCATTAAAAATTGTTGTGCTTAATATATTTAAATGTTTTTAATATACTTCTCATGAGGTACACTTTGAGGTATAATCAATGGGGCACGGAAATGAGACTCACTAGACTTGAGTTCTAGCTGCAGCTCTACTTGAGTAAATCACACAACCCCAGTAGGTATATTTGCTCAACTGTGTGAGCAAAGCTCCATGATCTCTTACACATTTTGAAGTAATTATAATTCTATGAAACTGTAACTGCAATAAAAATAAGGGAGCATAAGAAGAACCCATGCAAAAACTGGTCAATCGATCTTTGCCCCAAAGATTTAGGCCATCGGCATTTCACTCAGCTTCCTGATAGAAATATAGGAGCTACTCACCTCTGATTGACATCTTTCAGAACAAAACACAGCTTCAGATGATATTTGTCCTCCAGAGAAAAGTTTAGTGGGCCAGGGGGTTGCATATTGTTTTTTGATTCCCTGGCATTTCATTTGTAGCCTTAGGGCCCAGAGCACTGGCCCTCTAGTACCATCTCAAGATCAATGCTTTGATTACTCTAGCCATTCACTGCAGAAAAATAAGCCAGACTCCTGGGGACCAAGCCACCATCAGCTGAGCCCCAGGAAATAAGAAACTGGAAGTAGACCCACTTTAAGCCACGTGCTGAACATGTAGACTTAAAAATGAAAGAACTACTCTGATGCTTATTTCTGTCCCCTGAGACAGAATTCTGGGAACTATTTCTCTCAGTGGTAATAGACGTTCTAACTTTAATCTGGTAAGTACACCCATGATCATGACAAGTTTTACTGTGATTTACATTAAATCTGATCATTTAATAAATACATTAGAGTGCTTGTTAAGATCAACGTAGCTAAAATTTTAAATTTCTTTCTTTTGCCTTTGTACCCCTGTAGTTTAATTTAAGCAAATATGAAGTCTAGAGGAAGATACTTCGTTCCTGAGAATTTCGACAAGCATTACATCAGTTTCCTAACATAGAGAGCATCAGAGTGAATGTAGCTTATCCCAAGGGGAAACAAAAACAAGTAAATAACCCTACTATAAAGGTTGACAGGGTTTATGGTAAAAGAGGGCATTTTAATCCAGGCATTACTATCTGCATATTTGATTTAAATAAGCAGCATGCCACTGCTCATGAAGCGATAGTGACAACACAGTCTACTGTTAAGGGAAGTCTTTTTCTTAGACTTTTATTTGATTTTTGACTTTCTTTCTCTTTACCTTCATCAATTAGTAGTTACTGAAATCCTGTGGAGGCATTGGCCCTGTACTTGAAGCAATACCGCATTAAATAATGGAAGACTAGCAAAGGACTTAACCATTTCCAGTATATGCCTTTGAGATTTCTTTGTTCTTGTGTCTGGATGCAACCACATTGGTTTTGCCTCTGGGCTCCAAGGAACAACTTTCTTTGAATCCTTTTAGTGAATTTATTTCCATAAAGCCAGGGAAAGTTATACAAAATGTCAGGCGAATGACTAGTACTATGCAACCACGAAAAGGTATTTCTGTTATTTAAACTTTTAGTTAGTCTTTAGACGTTTACTCTATTTGCACCTATAGGCTTAGGATATATTTTGTTGCTTATTAAAGCTATAGTTCTGATATAAAATGATGAAGTACATACATAGTGTTCAATGAATAATTAGAACAAATTAATAAGAGCTATTTTATGGTTCTTGGCACAGTACTGCATAAGCAAAAAAATATGTTCTTAAAATTTACTTCCCTTGGCTTCTAGGAGTAAAGCGTGCTGTAAGCTACCTATGTCTTGAAGAGCCTAAAGTAAGTAATGTCAATGCACAAATCCTCCCAGAACCTTTCTGTTCAGGCAGGAAGTAATTTCTTGATCTATAAAGAATGTTCTGTAACATATACCCACTGAGTCATTTCTACAGTTTTTAAGAAGACTGCCTGGACTACCTAGGTCATGTCCCATACTGCTTACGTTCTTTGCACCAATAATGGAAGGATTTCTTAATCTCTGTCCTAATGTTTAAATATAATATAGAGAAATCATAAGAATAAACTGACGTTGAGACTCAAGAAGCAAATATCATAAAGTGTCAAATGATGTCTTGCACATATTGACACAAACACTCCACTAAGCATCTAATAGGCGTGATGCCATTTAGTTGTCACAATCGTCCAGTGAATTAGGCATTATTTCCATTTTACATTGAAGGAATGGAGTCTCAGAAAGGTAAACTTGTCCTAGAGCACACAACTAGTAAACGGCAGAATTTGGATTTGAACAAAGTCCAGTCGTAATCCAAGGTCAATTCTCTTCCCACCATACTCAATTGCCTACCATGCACCTCTTTATAACTCCACACCACTACACTACTCTCTGTTCCATTAGTATCTGAGTATCTTAGTCCATACATAAAGAGCTTCAGTGTGCTCCATGCTGGGTTAGACTACATACTGCCCCTTCTTCAGCCAACTTCTCCTTAAGGGAGTGATTACGCTTAGCCTGTAAAGAACGAGTTAAGGTTTAGAATGATGAACAGTGTAGCTTATTAAGTGGAAACTTTGTTTAACTCCACACTCCCCCTTTACACACACACACACACACACACACACACATGCACACACACACACACAAACACATTTTACCAATATCCTATCTTCCAAACACCCAGTGAAGGAATATATACTTGGAAGGCAAATCAAACAGCTATATTTTCCCACTTGTCTTCAGAAACTGTGGCTTAAATGAGTTGAACCCTTGCCAGACTCCTATTTGAGTTGTATTAGTCACAGCTCTTACTGTGAATGAATTCTATCGATGTTTGCATGATTGGCTGTGACTGGAATCCTGAGAAGCTGCCACACAGATAAGGTTCTCCTCACCTTTGCCGGTGCTGTGTTGCTGCCATCGCTCTTATGGCCGGCAGCTTTATGTCATTGTCTTGCTGCGGGGATGCTCTGCTGTTGTGGCTGCCATATGCTCTACTACAATTGACGAAATCAAACAGCATTCGTTCTGCCTTTTCCAGACTGGCCTCAGCTGTCTCGCAACTTCACGCCTCCATAGAATCACCTGTGTAAGTAGCAGTTTATAGATTTTAGGTTTAAATATTCTTCTTTGGGATGACCTGCGTCTCACCCACCCACAAAGCTGACAGGTCAATCAACATTGGCTTTGTCACAGACTCAGAGATACTTGTCAGCCCACTACAGCAAAGCATGGCATGTGTTTCTTAAGAATCTTCCATAGTAGAAGGTGCTACTTGTAACTTTCAAGATCCAAAGCAGCTAATCTCTCATTTTTTTGGATGACTAATGTGTCATAGATTTCTGAGTTTATCTATAAATCCCCAACTCTGCCCTTCATCTTGAGTCTTTGAGCTAGCTAATCATGATGCTAAATCTTACTGAGCACTGCCTATGTACCAGTCCATTGCTGAGCATCAAATTATTAACCTATTAAGTCTCACAGTAGTCTTATCATTACCATTTCAATTTTGAAGTTGAGGAAACTGAGGTGGAGAGTGATTATATAACTTGCACATAGTCACACAGTTGGGATTCAAATAGGCTTCACTCAGCACAGCTAAGATTCAGACCCTAGGAAATCTGGTTTCAGAATTCAGGCTCTTAACTATGACATCATGTGGTCCTGAATAATGAGAAGTCCATTTAAGGGCACTCCCACAGCCTCACAATAGCCCAGTGATACTAAACAAAATCGATGAACCTTCACGCATTTTCTCTCCATGCTTTTATAATCTTCATAGTGATTGTGCTCCCCATCTTTTGCTTCTGTCACAATATGTTCTTCTATTCTGGTTCATACTATTCAAACAATAGTAAGGGAACATGTTTTCCTTTTTCCCTCTAAATATTTATACTATTGTCATCTGGTGAAAAAAAAAAAAACTCTCATGGAAAACTCACGAAAGCATTGACAAAAAATAAAATAGCATGACAATTAAATTTGTAATTTTAAGTGAATTACATTTATTTAATGCAAAGAACATTTCCCGACTCAAAAACCACTTAAGAAGTAGTAAAAGGAAGAAGAATAGCAAAAATGTAGTGAATACGCTAAACTCGAACTCATCATATTCAAAGGTCTCTGGCCACTATGTGGCTATGAAGTCTATCAAGGTGAAATTCAAAATTCTCTTTCACTTTTTTGAGCAGTAGAGTCAATCTCATAGTTAATTAGAAAAGTGTTGTGACACAGCAGATAAAATAGTGAATGCACAGTGAATAGACACAGATTGAAGCTGTGGTTTGGATGTATTAACTACATGGGTGACCTCTGATAGAGTTGAACCAACAGAATTCATAGGACTAGATGGGCTTCCATCTCTTTAAACCCATCTAGTCCTATAAATTCAATCCAATGTTACGTGGATTTCTGATATCAGTAGTACATTATGCTTACTATTATATTATTTATTATATTAGACTTAGATTAAACACTATACTTAAATCTAATGTTGTGTTTCCATAGATAATGACTGGGAGTCAAAGCGTAACGTTGACTTTTTAAGTACTCATGTTAGTCCCCGGTTGAAACCTTTATTGACCTGTAGTAAATAGTGTCCTAGTGACCTAAAGTAGTTAACATGTTTTCCAATCCCAACTTAGCACCAGAAAGGCCCAAAAGAGAAAAAAAAAAAAATCTTCCCTTTGGAGACAGTAGAAGACACATTCATTCACTTACAAACACATGCACAATGGTAAGTTTTTAGAGAAATAAAGGTTTCTAAATATCTCAGGAATCAATTTATCCAAAGTACAATATATTCTCTCTCCTACACATTCTGTGCGTTCTTCACTTACTAGACAATTGTAAACCACCAGAAACACAGCAAGTTGGCTCATAACTATTAGAAGACTCCAGGAGTTGTGTTCCTGATGTAACAGAGACCAGAGGTCTGCAGGAATTGGACTCAGGGCTCCGAGTTTGGCACTGGCTGGATTCACACTCCAGAGTTTGGCAACTCCTCGACACATAAGTCATGGGTGGACAACACTTTACCACGTAGTTCACAGGTTGACAGCTCTGGATCGCAAAACCCTTTTGCTGGCTGCTCCTCGATTGGCAAGGCTGAGAAACACATTTCCACACTGCCGAAGAATCTCCTGATTGGCATGTTGTTCTTTCACGCGTCCTGGAAGGAGAGCAAGTTGTCTGGACAACTTTGTGCAGGCGGGCACTTCGTACACTGCTAGCCTCTGTGCACTGTTCCTGTTCACAGCTGGGTACTTTGCTGCTGGTGGTTTCACTGCAGGTTTCTTGAAATTTGTCCAAGAGCCAGGTCCTGCCATGGCAGCTGCTGGGTAAAAAAAATCCATTTTCAAAGCTTATAGGATTAGACTCATGTACAATGGCAGAGAGTGGTGGGACATTGTAGGAGCTCCTGAATGAGTGGCAGTGGCTCTGGGCCATATTGTTAAAACCTTTGATTGAAGTTGGTTATAAAGACTCAACATGCTGGATCTAAAGATTAAGTTCTTTGCTCGGGAAATTATATACTCAGAAACTGGGTGTTGGCTTCATCTCAAGACTCCTTTCTACCTCATGGCTTAAGCTAATTTGAAGGTTAACATCTCATTAGCACTTTGTTTAGTTATATATGAAGGTGGCATCTTATGAACAAAGAAGCCAGTCCATTTTGAATCTTTAAAATGGCTTTCATGTTAGTCCCAAAGGTGACTCATCAGGGCAGGGTTTGTCAAATATGAGTCCCTACTTGTCACCCAAGCTAATTTTTTTTCTTATTGTTCCTTAGTCGCTAGGACTCTCCATATTGGTAAATAGACAATAATAAATGCCTGTGGAAACAGCCAATTGAATATTGATTAATATTCAGCATTGGAGTTTTGAGAGATACCATCTTGGCAGAATGTGATAAAATGATCGAAACAGTTTTAGTTAGAATTCAATCCGATTGAGCCCACCCTCATTCTTCTCAGATCTTGTTCTGCCCAATTGAATAAGAGAGAAAGACTATACAATAAAATTCCTTCTCACTGTTCATCCAAAATACTGAATGTGGCCATTGCTCTATAAACATCTTTCCTTTTGCATAACATTTTGTTTCCCTCATCTTATGGAAGGCAAACTTTGAATGTTGCTTCTTTATAAAGCTTTTTCCTGATCTTCCTATTTAGAAGTCATTACTTCTTCCTCTGAATTACCAATGGATTTTGAAATATTCTTTATTATGACATATTTTATACCAAGTAGTTTGTTTACTTCCATTTATACTTCTCAAAAATTGGTAATTTGCTTCTGTAACAAACGTGTTTTAGATATGCTTTTTATTTTTGTTTATTCAGTGTTTTATTTTTGGTCTGCAAGATGATGATCAACTCCTACATTTATCATATTAACATGTGATACTGAGCGTAGTTTCACACTCAAAGCACAAGATATACCAGAATGATTTCTATAACACATTCTATGATTTACTTAGTTCAGCTCATGAGAGTGAAATGACAGAAGTTTATTCTAAGCATTGTATTCCGGAATCTTTTTCTTAGGTCTGAAGAAAACCGAGAATATTCAGGAACTTGGAACAACTCTCATACGAACTCTTCCTTGATATATGATGACCTGGGGATATTGTATATTTAAAAGGACTCATCTGAATACATTCAGCTTGAGAACCTGTACACTCAACTTGTGTTTATAACACATGCAAGTTATTTATAATTTCGAATGGCCTCTCTTGTGTGATTAAAGATCCTATTATGCCCTCCACATGAACTCTGCAACAACCCATTTAATTTTTATGCATATTTGTATTGATTATTGCACAGAGACTTCCACTGTAGCTTACGACTTTCTTGTTTATATATATTAAATGGATTCTCATTACCCTTAGAAGAAGATCCATTCCCCTTAGCGTGGCCTACAACACCTTGCAAGATCTGGCTGCTACCAATTTTTCTAACTCCAAATCTTGTCATTTCTCTCTATCCAGTTGGCTCCATCTCTTAGGACTCTACACAGCTCTTTGAGCATGTAAAGCCATTCCTCGCCTCAGAACTTTATGCATGCAGCTGTCTGTTTCATCTCTTCTCTGCCCTCATCTATGCTACCCACAGCTTTTCTCCCCATCTTTTGAGCTTCGGTTTAAGAGGTACCTCTTATAGTGGCTTTCCTTCATCATCCCATTTGAAAACAGATTCCATTCTCAGGATCTATATTTTTTTTCTTTCATAGAACCTATTTGTTTATAATAGTTTTATTTGTTTCTTCATTGTGCCTTTGCCATTACACTGTGAGCTTTGTAAAGGCAAGAAGTATGTGTATCTTCCTCACTTTTGTATTAGCCAGCTGTATTGAGCACAGTGGCTGGCTGGCACATAATAACAGCTCCATAAATGTGTTTTTAAAAATTAATGAATGAAAAGTATTAAAGAAAAATGTAGTGAAATTATAGTTAACTATCTGAAGAGATATAGCTCTGAAATCTTGACATACCTAAGATTTCTAAGAATTGACAAGGATTCAGAGCTTAAAGAAAAAATAACCATGCCAACCTTTTAGCTACCTCTTTGTGAAATAAGAACAAAATTATCGAAGAAGCCACTTATTAGCATAGCACAAGCTGAGTCAATTATGTTAAATTAGTGCTTGATTGTGTATAGGCATGTTTTAAAAAGCTTTTACTATAAAAGAAGGCATGACTTTTTGTTGTCAGCACAGAGTTGACAAATTCTGAATGGCGAAAGCAGGACATCACCTATGCCAGCTTTCACACAGTTGTCTCCAGCAGAAAGCCTTCTTATTAACCTCAAAATATGTAGTAAATTAGTGAATACTTGTGCAGTTCTAAATCACCAAATGTCAGATGACATTAGGTCCATCATTTGTGAATAAGGCCACTCTACAAGTACTTTTTTCTTTGCGTCAGGGCATTAACTTGTACATTCTAGTTAATTGAGTGCTGAGTTAATAGATGTTTCAGTATATGATTTCGAATCAATGAGTAAATACAGATTTTGGCTGGTGCTGGATTTATAGAGGGGAGTTACCTGCCTTATTACAATGGAATGACATAGGCTAGGACAACTGCTCACCTTGCAATTGTTTTTGTGCAATCTACTAAAAACTAAGTTATTAGCTTTGTAGGCACTTGAATAATGATAATTATGAGGTCTATCTCCTAGTATTCTTAAGACATAGGTAAAAATAGCAATGTGATTGCTTATGGTGATGGATATTTTGCTACTAACAGGTTAAACAATTCTCTGGTCTCTTGGTCTCAAAGAATACAAATGATTACAGCTGCAGTGGTACCTCCTAACCACCAGAGAGTAAATATCCATATTCACTATGGATTCACCTATCATTAAATATAATAATTGTGTTATAATAAATGAGCAATTAAAAACAAAAATTCTAGAGTCAGACTGCCAGGATTCTAAGCCAAGTTCTACAATAACAAACTATAACCTTTAACATTTCCCTTAAATTTTGATGCCTTGACTTCTTAATTTTTAAAATGAAAATTAGAAGATTACTGACCTCATGAGGTTGTTTTACTGATTGATGATATGATATATATAAGATTGCTCACCACATATTGAGTGATAAATAAATAAAAATAGCAATTATTTCTGATAAGCTTGATTCCATTAATTCACTGCATGAATCTGGACAAGTCACTCTGCCTCTGGGTATCTTATGAGATAATGAGTTTAGATGAGAAGATCACTAATGTCCTTTCCAGCTGTCATAGTCTATAATTTCCTATCAGAATCTTGATATCTTAAAGTTGAAAAGGACATTAAATCGCATCTTGTCAAATCCACCCACTGAATGAAATCTGCACTTTTATTTAAGTCATCTAATCTTTATTAAGATTACTTATAAAAATTTTAAGAGCAGAGACCAAAAATTGAAGTCTATTAGTTGACACATATGCTGATAGAAATCCACGACTTTAAATGAATAGTCCTATTGTATTTGAGAGTAACTCTGAGAATATATAAAAATATGTTTCTCTGGCAAAGAAGACATTGGTCCATCTCAAAAGAGTGCGTTGAGGGGAATGGCTAACTTCTTTTATATACAACATTCTGTAAAATATGCCAAGTACCATATAACCCTTCTCAGACATTGTAACACATATAGAAGAATGTATCTCAGGATCTAGAATATCCAAAATTATGACACTGTGACCATAATAATGATCCTTATGTGGAATATGAAAATGGCCTCTTGCCAGCTTTATCTGTTTCTAATGATAAATAGATTCTCCTAAAATATGGTAATATGAGGATTTACATGTGACATCATTTCTTCTCTGAAACTATCTCTAAATAATTTTGCTTCTTGGTAATTTACAATTCAATTATATCAGACTTTAATTGAAACAGCCACAAAGGTAAAAGAAAGAAATTTTAAAGGATTCTAGTGTCTATATAGCCCTTAAAGTTAGGTAATTAAAGAAAAGAATGAACCATAGCATCTCGACCATCTGAGCATCAGAGCTCATATTTTTCACCCCCCTTGCTCCATTATGTCTTGGATGTGAAAGTGTCATGGTTTATTCTAGTAATTATGCCCTTGCTGTTGTTTCTTTCCCAGATGCACTTTCTCTGGCCCTATGAGGTTAGCTTTTGGTGAAGTCATTTTTTTGCCTTTGTGTGATAGAGAAATGTGAATTTGTTTCGAGTTCTCCTACTTCTTCTTCGGGTACTGCAGTTGCAATAATGTGCCATTGAAATGGTGCTAAATCTTTTTTTGACGATAATGATGACCAGAGGATTATGACATTGATAACAATTAATTGATCTAAATAGAGCTCAACCAGCAAAAATGAACACATAGTTGATGTCATTGACATAAAAATCCTGAAGACTGTATTCTAGTTTCATTTCATTCGTTTATTAAATTAACTTTTATTGAGCATTTACTACATGCTAGATTTTGTTAGGTAAGATTCTTCTGTGTTCAGTGAGGATATAACAAGGGAAAACAAACAAAACGGTACTGATTAAACAATAATACTTTAAATTAAATATTAAAAGTAGTAACTTTTTAATTAGCAAAGCTATAAGCATATGTAATGCTAGCATTATGTAAGGAGCAATCCACTCTGTTGATCATGGAGTTTACTTAAAAGAAGTGAGAGAAGAGAAAATATTTCCTTGGATTTTGAAGGGAAAAAGATATGGCATTCCTTCTAGAAATACTAGACTGTATAAAAGCTCAGCTCTACACAATTTATTCAAGAAAATTGAAGTAGGCAGCATTGATGGAGAGCGTGTTGGTAGAGAGAATATATGTTTACAGTAGTGGGAGGAAGGACTGGGATTGGGCAGAAGGGGACTACAAATGACTTTTAACATTATATTAAGGGGCCTTTATTGGAGAGGAGGATTGTTTCAGGTTTTAAATGTATATCTCATTTAGGAAAACATTAGCTACAAATAACAGAGATTATAATTCAAAATGATTTAAGTAATAAGAAAAAGATAGTCCAGGCTCTGTTTCTCTGCATGTGTCTTGGTTTTATCTTCTTCCATGCGATGGTTTAATTTTTAAGCCATATGCAAAATAGATACAGCATTTCACATATAATATGACAAAGTCTAGAGGAAGAGACAGTTGCTTTACTTCACAAGAAAAACTTTACTCAAAGCACCTCTTCACAACATTCTTCATTTTTCATTGGCTTAAATCAGATCACATGCTCCATCCTGAACCAATTGCTAAGCATTAGGGTGCCCAAAGACTAGCCAGATCAGATTCTGAAACCTGGGGCATAGCCATGTTCATTTTAAGGACTGACTATGTTTAGATAAGGAGAAATACACAAACAAAATCCAGTTCTCATGGGAAGAAAAGAGTGAAGGAAAATAAATGTGAGGACAATGAACAATGGACTACCCACATCCACTTACATATTTTTCTTCCCACTTATATATTTTAAGATATAGATGACTGCACTCTCTCAAACAAGAGAATTCGGTAGGCTATCTAGTTATCACATCCAGATCTAAGCCTAAGATATCAAGAGACAAAGCCTTTCCTTTGAATTCAGAGTACCTACTCATTTCCAGAAGTTCTCAGGTGACTTCTACGAAAACAGAAGGCCTTATAGTGACTGAACAGAAGGAGAAGAGAGTTAAGCATCAACATTAGACATAGCTCTTAGAAATTTTACTTATTTTTTAAAATAATAAAATTCATACACGTTTAATTCCATCTATACTTAAGATGTTTATTTTATTACACCAGTTACTGTGGTCAGTTAAAATCATGACCTCAGAATCCCATTATGGCTTTCATAAGTCTGTGAAAGGGGCTCATGACAAGTATTTTGATAATTTTACTCACCTAAAACAGCCAGGTTCGGCCTTGCTGATGCATCACTACTGTTTCTGAAACTTTTCTTTTTGGACCAGACCCATTTGTAGTTTCACCCAGATAAGATGTCCTGATTAGACTGAAATGACCTTGCACATGAAGGAAAGCAGAATATACCATCACAAAACATGCCTCTTTAGAATAAAGATCAGTTTAGGCTGATTACTTTTAATAAACAAACATAGGAAAAGCTCTGAAAACTGAGTAAAAGTTACCCTTTTGTAAGAGATATTTACATTTATAAGCAAAATTATTCATCTGTAAGGATGTCTTCCTCTCTGTACCAGGAAGAGGAGGATGTAAAAGCTTTAATCAATGGAGAAGACATGGATTTAAATGTTTAACATTATCCTTGTTCCCTGTGCTTTCCTTGGCATCCTCCCATAACTCCCCTCCCCTAACACCTTCTTTTGTCTTTAGCTGGAGATGTTATTTAAGGTGGTAGCTGGTTCCATTTCAGGGAATTAATCAGGGTCTCTCTCATGTATACGGTAGGTATACATGTTATTAAATGTGTTTCTTTTTTTTTCTCCTGTTAATCTGTCTTTTTATGATAGGTATGCCTCAATGAAGAACCTGGAAGGGTAGAGAGAAAATTATTTTCCTCTCTCACACACTCAAGAATTTAAGATAATCTCCTTCCCAAGCTGTTATTCCATCTGCCAAAAATGCTAGGAAACTAACTCTGTGTTGTCAGAGAATTTTTCTTAGCAGGAAAACTACTCTTTAAATTAAATATTTATTTTTGGTCAAAGAATAGTAGATTTAGAATTATCAACAGGCATCTTTTTTTTTTTAATTAACAGTAAGACATGATCTGATATCAGATTAAATGAGTTTCACTAAAAGAGGATAACTAGAGAAGTAAGGGGGAAAATACAACACGATAGAAACAAAACTGGTACTCTGAGATAAATGACTTTAATATTAATAGACTTTTATTTAATTATCACTCTTCTAGGTAGTAGAGCATAGACTCTTGCCAGATAATAGCTGATATTGACTTTGAGAGATATAACTGCGAAGTCTCAGCTTAGAACCTTTAACAGATTGATCGGTAGTGGAAGCCAGGGCTACAGGTTGGTTGGTAACAAGAAGTCTGGTAGCTCCTAGAAGCCAAATAAGTTGGGTGACAGAATCTGGATCCATAGCCCAGAGAGGAGAAGCCACAGACCCCATAACCCAGGGGTCTGAAGATACGGGAACCACAGCCCAGGGAGCAGCTGCTGCTGGACCTAGAGCCCAGAGACACGGTGTAAGCTGACCGGCAGGGACTGCAGGGTGTGGAGGTCCCTGGGCGGTAGCAGGACGTCTGGCAGGGGCTGGACACCACACAGGATGTCTGGCAGCTGGTGGGCTCACAGTAGGTCTCCTGGCAGCCACGGTAGAGAGAGGATGCCAGCTGGCAGGTGCTGGGAGAGCAGACCAGGTTGCTGGGGTAGGAAGAGCCACAGGAGGAGCGGGGAGACTGGGGAGCGCAAGTAGCCCCTAAGGAAGCGGGAGGAGAAGTTTCCAGAGCAGCAGTTGTAAGACATGTTGACGAGAGATGTGAGTTCAGCCGCGTTACACCGAGAAGATGCCCTGATCTCCCAGCTCTGTTTGTATATATACCCTCACTACACTAGATGTGATGCAGACCTTCCCCATTCTTGTGCATGTCTCATCATGAAAATAACAAATTAACCTGGGCTATAATTATAACTGATTATAACTGAACACATTCATGTTCTTAACTGCTATTTAATTATTCTGGTTTACAGAAGCCACTCTGCTTCTCTCTCTCTCTGAAGAAGGTGTGGTTCGCCTTCAAGGACAATGGTCATGATGCAGATAGCACCATCCCTTCTTCACTGAGCTTGCCTATGGGGATTTTGAGCAAAAGTGTCCAGATTGTTACCAGAAATGTACTCCTAACAGTCATCAGCATCTCTGTCCCAATTATTTATATATTTTGTTGAACATTTACTATATGTAACACATTGAAAGTTGTGGCATCTTTTAATCAGTGCAATAACCTTATGAGATGGGAATTATCTCAGTAACCCAGACATCTTTGTCT